CCCCCCCCCCCCATCACTTTTCTAATGGTCCGTCCCTTAGCCTTTTCCCAAAAGAGATCACAGTGCATTCTGGGATCGTTTGGAGGACAAAATATATGGTGACAGGCGTCAAATATGTGAAAGAGTAGAATCAGACAACTAAAAATGAAATATCTCTTTTTTACATTAAACATTTAATTTAAATGTGTGCTGCCATATTCCGTGCCCTCCAACATGAGAATTGCGCGACTATGGACCCAGGACTTTGGGAAATGGCTAATAAGTATTCTTTATATAAAGAAAAAAAACTAATAGAAAGAAGAATACTGATATCAGAAAAAAGAATACTAATATAAAAAAGAATACTAATATAAAAAAGAATACTAATGTAGAAAGCTGATAGAACGAATCAATCTAGTATAAATAAAGTTAGTTTAAACACAATATAGGCCAATATGAGAGTACACTTATATTGGACTACAGGGTAAACAATGTAAAACTGATATAGATCAACGCAGTTTACACAAAACTGGTTCACTTTAGTTCAAAACTAGTGTATTGAAGGAAAGAACTGATTATGATTTCACCTTTCATGACCTTGTATCAATTTATTACTTAGTCACCTACTAAATTAACCCAAACTACTAAGGTTATACATATTTTAAGCAACTTGTTTTACTGAATACACAGTTTTACCACATAATCTCATAACGTCCACTTTAGTTCAAAACTAGTGTATTTAGTGAATTTGATTACGCATGTCATCAAGACAAGAACTGATTATGATTTCACCTTTCATGACCTTGTATCAATTTATTACGTAATCACCTACTAAATTAATCCAAACTAATAAGGCTATACATATTTTAAGCAACTTGTTTTAAGTACACAGTTTTATCACATAATCTCATTAAGCCAGTTAAAGAGTCCTGGTCAACCACAATGCATTGCGCGGTTTTGTTTACGTTTTCAGTTACTTTTCTCAATATAGTTGCCGCCTCTGGCCCACAAGGTAACAGAAACGTAAACAAACGCACGCATTGCATTGCATTGTGGTTGACCAGGACTCTTTAAGACAAAGTACAACAATTGACTTATAAGCTAACAAACTACACAGCTAAAACGTAAAATTACATCAAGTCAAGCAAAAATCAAACCAGCAATCACCATCAAGGAAAGAGTAAACTTGGTCACTATAACACCAGTTGCGCTGTTGGGGGTATAATTGTTGCAATTATCGGTAGTACAACATGCAGCAGCACACGATTTTATCTTCAATGCAATGGCTGCAAGGTCACAGGACTCTTCAGCATTAGGGCAAACATAACTGTTGCCACATAGGCCGTGGGATGAGCATCCAAAAGATGCTTAG